AACCACACATCGCACTACGCCAACCGATGTGCTCTCATGGTGCGAGACTGATCACCAACGCCAATCCAACCCACCTCCTCGCGCCTGCGGCCACACGCCCTCTGCCTCTTGCCGAGTCTTTCGGCTCCATTCGAACCCCGGCTCTCCTTTTGACAGTTTTGACATCTGCAGCCACCAGTCTTCCCCGTGCCGCTCACTGCGCCAGAGCAACCCCTCCCCCTTGGCCGCCTTACAATGAAATATCCTCTGGCTCACCCGCTTCTCGACGAGTCCAGCTGCCCCTGATTCTGGGTCAACCCACATTCCTCGAGATCGACTCCGGGGCTAGCAAGCCCGGCTTAACAAGGAGCCCATCCCCCATATCTCTCCATCCCACGCCGCGCACGACGCTGTGCGGGCCCTCCATCTGGCCGCTGTACTTTTGTCCAGCACGAACTATCGACGACTAGGACTTCTGCTTTTAAAGCCATGGCGGAAAGCCGAGATCCACCAGCCATGGGTGTGGGCCATCTAGAGCCAGACACGAACAGTGATGACTTTGCCGAAGATGTAGGTTGAAAACACGCTGGTGGAGAGGACGCAGAGATAGTCTCTCCTACCGCTGCTGACATCTGGAACAGGACAGGCAGTCCATATTTTCGGACCAAGACTCGGCCCTAGGCTCTGTAAGTCACCTCACAGCCCTTAATGGGCCCCCAGCGCAGGACTGACGACTCAAACTACCCTAGGACATGTCTCTTTTCTCGTCAACGGCTTCTCTGAGGTCTTCAATCTTGAGGAGCATAGAGGAGAACGGACGAAAGTACCACGGGTACAAGGACGGGAAATATCTTCTTCCAGACGATGAGGTAATACCCCCCCTTGCAAGTTTCTCCGTTGCACGTGCCACAGTCCACTGACACTCAGCAGCAAGAACTCGACAGGCAAAGTATGTCCCCTTCTACATCTGTCCATGCATTGTGCTGACTTTCTGTTAGTCTTCCAATATGATCTGTGCCTGCTTACTTTCGACCACACATTATCATTCGCTCCTTTTACCAAGCTTAACAGAGTGTTGGACGTGGGTTGCGGCGTCGGTGAGTGTGGTTGCACATCACGTATTTGGCATAGCGTTGCGGCTGACATGGCCCTCAGGCTATTGGGCATTAGACTTTGGTGAGTCTATAACTATACTCCAAACTCAGCCCTATGCTAATCAACATTACTATCAGCTGAGATGCACCCGGAGGCTCAGGTATACATTGATGCGGCTCACCATGTCGATCCTTGAGGCACTAAGAATCTGTGTAGGTCATCGGTGTCGACCTGTCACCAGTGCAACCAGCATAGTAAGGACTTAAACCGCACTATATTCTTCATAGCCTACGTTCATACTAACAAATAAACCAGCGTTGTAAGCCTCAGGATCTGGCTCAGGTCAAGAACATGGTGTCATTGACTCGTGTGTTTAGCCCCCGAACGTACAGTTCGAAATCGACGACTTGGAAGAAGCATGGAACTTTAGCTACCCTTTTGACTACATCCACTCCCTCATGATGACAGGCGCATTTCGAGATTGGCCAAACTTCTACCGACAGGCCTTCGAGTAAGTATTTCCAACCTGCCACAGGATGATTTTGCGTCTGTTGTCAAAATTCTCAACGCGGACGGACAGGAACCTGAATACGAACGGCTGGGTTGAGACCCAAGACATCCACTTCCCACTGTACTGCGACGATGACACAATGCGGCCGGGCGGCTCCGTCAAGCGGTGGAGCGACCTGATGGTCGAGGCCGGGGAGAAGTCCGGGTTCGACCTCGGCGCGTGCGGACGCGCCGGCGACATGATGCACGAGGCCGGCTTCGTCGACATCGTACGGATCCCATACAAGTGGCCCATCAACGAGTGGCCGCGGGAGCCCAAGTGGAAAGAGGTCGGGCGGAGGACGGCCATAAACTTCAGGGAGGGGATGTCGGCCATAATGATGGCGCTCTTCACGCGCTTCATGGGCTGGTCGAAAGAAGAGGTGGAGGAATTCAGCGCCCAGGTGGACAAGGAGTGGCAGGATACCAGAGTACACGCATATTTTTGCATATGGGTCACCTACGGGAGGAAGCCGTGAGCCCGAGACCGAGACGGCTTCATGTGTCCTCAGCGCTGAAGCGCGTCTGGCTAGATGCCGCGCAGGTACTGGGGGGGAGATCACAGCACGAAGGATGCGCCGACACGTTTACGAAAGCATACATAATGACCCCATACCCATATCACGTATGTATACGTTATACGACTTAATTTGAAAGAAATTGATTTTTTAATGCATACAAACACGCTCCAGTGGATGCTCTCGACATGAGGATTGGACGATCGAAATGGAGACTTGACATGCTACTATGCGTCCGCTCGCTCGGATGAAGCGTACTGAGGAGCATCATATGTTTCCCCCACGGATTTTAGATAGCATCGGCAGGTACGCTGTACATACTTTTGGTGCATGGGCCATATTCCTACAGAGTTGCCGTTCTGGAATCTAAAAGAAAAGTCCTGACCGGTGTGTTCCGGCAACGTGGTCGGGGTGTAATTGGGATTCCTGACCTGCTGACAGCCACCGGGATGTGCTGGCTGCATGGTGGGAGATTCCTGTGACCATTTGTTTTCTTTTTCTTTTGGGTTTAAGACATGTCGAAATGTGGCGTGGCACACCGTGTGAAATGAGATGATCTGATTCTGATTGATCATGGGCTCTGGATCAGCCATGTCTCCTGACACTTGCGCACCCAGGTACCAGACAGGTAAAGGTAAGATGGGGGTACTCGAGCGTCCAAGCACAGAATCGTGCCTGCTATGTGGGAGTCCGGCCCAGGCAAGGAAATTTGAATGACTCTTGGCATTTGTCTCTAGATTTTAAAGAAGAAGTGCCGACATGACACTCAAATTGAAGATGCTGACTCCATGTCTATGTGAAGTGAGGATTCGCAACGTTCGTTGTGCATACAGAGTCCAGCATCAGCCTTGACGTGTCTTGTCTTGCTGTGCCGCGTAAACGGGAAGCATGGTTCTCAAACCTCAGGAAAGCCTCTTCCAGGGAACATGAATTGGCTGAATTTGACAGCAACATGAAAGCATTGGAGTTTGGTGGCAAAGGGGTTGATTTAACATCATCGGTCTCCATTTCTGCGTCCACATGGTGAGAACGTGTCCTCGATCGTGACCACTATTCTTTGGGTAATGGCTATGAGAGCTCCAAGGGCCAGCTTGGAGTCCGAATGTCATGAATCGAACAGAATGTGGAATTAAATGGCAGTATCTGCATTCTCTCTGGCTAAGGGTACAATTTCCAGTGACGTCGGGACATGGGTTGGAGATGGGGATGGCACAGTCTTGCATTAATTCTAGTGAAGAAACCATAGTCTGGCGTTATTTGGCCGGTTTTGGTTTCTTTATTATCAAAGACACGTGTAGGTTCAGTCCCAATGGGCTTGCCTTCATGATATCAACGCTGTGATACTCGAAAGACAGCAAAGGATTCCAAAGTGAGCATCAAGTTTGGCCCTCTGCAGATTGGATTGAATAAGTTGCAAAGCTTGCTCTATGTGCAGTTCCAGGTTCTCTTCCTGATGGGAACAAGTCCAGCTGACCTGATTGTAGATCCACTGCCCTCGTCAGTTGGCACCAATGCAGCAGATGGCCTGGGGGTACACTTACACTGGAGTCTCGGGGTGAGGTTCCAGGCAATCAGTCTTGGTGCAGAGACCCCTGCAACACAACGACTACATCAATAGTGAGTTCCATCAGGAAACTACCGACAAGGTGGCCCATTTGGTTAGGCGTCAAGTTTCGACTTACGGCGCTGATGATGCCAAGTTCAAGCCGAGTCGGCACCAGTAAAATATCAGCGATGGTCTGCAAAGGACGGAGGTATTTTCTGACTCTTCGGAGGGTCTTTTTGCCTTTTTGATCTTCCACATCCCCAAGATCTCTTCTCCCTGCTTGCTGCTAAAAATTAATAGTAGATAAACAAGGAAAGATGTGTTGATTTTGACCTTCAAGCCAACAAATGACCACAAGTAAGTTGTGAAGCTGCCAAACGGCGATGGCGCTGGATTATTTAAGAACAGCGGTCACATATCAAATGACAGTCCTACCCCAGATCTTTTATGAACCCTTCGCACTTCAGTGTCGACTGCACGATCAAGGCACCATACGGAGGTATACATGTCACTCATCCAGGTGAATGCCCAGAATTGTCCTGTCAGATGAAGAAGCAGACAACAGGCGCCAGCAGTGGCAGAGAGATTGGATGCGAATTTTCTGCTCTTTTCTAATTGAGTTCCTTATGAAGGGGCATTACAGCCCTCGTATCTTTTTGGGATCGAGACACTGGCCTTGGAACGATTCCGTTCACATCCTGCTAGGACGTCTCGAGCCTGTGGGCTCTGTGGATCCTTAGCTGGTGGTTCATCTTGCCAAGTTGTAGCCCTTTTGACATTTAGTCGTAAGGAATGCAAGAACTTCATTATTCTCCTCGATGCATTCCTTTGGAATAGGGCAGGGGATTGCGATGTCCGTAACGCGACCTGACCTTCTGAAAAGTTGAGTCTACGCAAAAGTCCAATGCGAATCTTCTTCCCCATCTTGTATCAGCACAGCACCATTTTCAATTCTGGAACAGCACATAATCGACAGAATTTCATGACAAGGCAAAGCAGGTTCTTTCGTGGCAATCGTAACAGTAGCGGTCGTGGAAGAGTGCAATACCCGCTCGGAAGCAGCTGTGAGTTCGTCTTTAAGCTCTCAATGTGGGCCGGAAATTGGAGTCACGATGATCCCGGACTGATTTGCAGCCACCTGTTGTTGCAAAGCCCATGATTCTTTTCAATTGTGTGAGACGTGCAAAGGTGATGTTGAAGTCCTGGGCCTCCGGCGGCTGGCGGCTGGCGGCCATCGGTTCGGCTCCTAGCAGGGGTCCCGATTCTCTGGGACAACGGCCGCTGGTACGTGCTCTAAAGTACCGAGTGACGTCCCAGGGGTGAGCTGACAGAAGAACGCGTCTCGCCGAAGCCGACCGCGTCTTAGTCCATGCCCACAACCCAGGTAAACAGCTTCCACACCCGCCCCACCATTCTTTGCGAGCGGCAACTTCTCCTTGAATTTGGTTCCGTCCGGTCTGTTCTGCTCTGTTCGCACGAGGCATTCATAGACCACACGCTTCTTGACAGTAAAAAAGACATCCCTTTGCGAGCATCGTACATACCTCTCTGCATTCGACTTGGCCAGGCCTTAAAGACGCGTCGCATCTGGTCCAAGTTCACTTCACCCCGTCCGCATCCTCTCCTCTCCGGCTTCACCACACTCGACCACAATTCGCCTCTCCGACCTCGACAAGGTTGCCATTGGGACGCCGATCGTCGCCCGTGACGGTCACCTGCTTATCCCTTTAACTTCCCTGGCACTACACCCCTATGAAGCTGCAATGAAATTCAACAGACGCGTCAAGCTTCAATAATTAGCCATGTATCTACCGCGTTCCCTGATCTCGAAACTGTACTTGCACCTGCAGAGCACATGCCACCCGCTCTCGCCGCCCGTTCTCATCCTCGTCGCCCTCGAGCCCGACGCTCTCTGCGGCTGCAGAATCCTCACCCGGCTCCTGAAGAACGACTATATCCCACACAAGATCCAACCTGTCGCCGGCTATGGAGATCTGGAGCGCATCGGCAGGGAGCATGTGAGCCCTCTTATGCAGCAGAATGGAGGTGCCGGAGGGATTGTTGTGTGCCTCGGCGTTGGAGGCATGGTCGACCTGGGCGCCGTGCTGGGCCTTGAACCAGAGGGCGAAGAGACGACCTTTGGAGGTGTCGAGGTCTGGGTCCTGGACTCACGCCGCCCTTGGAATCTGGGCAACGTGTTTGGAGGCTTCCCGCTCGAGCCCGATGTTGACGGCAGCTCCAGTTACCAGACGCGAACGCCCATCGGCGTCACGGCTGGCAGGATCGACCGCGCTTATAAACCTGGCAAGGGAGGTGTGGTGGTGTTCGACGACGGCGACATCGAAGACGAGCTCGGCCCACAGAGAGACGCGTACCTGGCGCTCATGGAGATGCCTGACGTGGAAGATAATGGCGAGGACCTGGGGGACAGCGATTCGGAGAGCGAGGACGAGCCGGAGGAAGATTTGTTCCAGTCGTCACCGCGGGCTGGTCAAAAGCGGAAATCTTGGTCGGACCCGGACGAGGACGACGACAGCGACGACGACGACGACGACCGGCCACGCCAGAGGAGGAGGAGCAATTCTGTGAGTGTGCATGCCGAAACAACTTGAAGAGGCCCCCCAAGAGCAGGAACTAATCCGCCCGCACAGTCCACCCCCATTCCAGAGTCTCCGCAGAGACCAAGACAGCGTGGGTTGCTATCCCTACGCGACCAGGCTCTCATGTCCTCGGATGGTCTGGGTGATGATCCACCTACTGCCGCGCAACCGCCGAAACAACCTTCGGTCCGCACACTCAGGAGGCGTCTCCTCCGCATGAGGCGAGAGAATGAAGCCATTCTGCGGGACTACTACCGTATCGGCGCGTCGTACTCAGAGCCCATCTCATCCATGGTCTACTCCTTGGCTTCGGAACTGGGCCGCGAGGACAACGACATACTGTGGTTGGCAATCGTCGGTGTCACGTCTATGGAGCTGTATGGGCGATCATCGGCTGGCGTTGCTGTGCCCATGAGGAGTTCCGAGTCCAAAAACACGTCAGGGTGGCTGGGCATGCGCGGCGCCAGGATACGACAACTTCTACGCGACGAAGTTCGCCGTCTCAATCCCCCGGCGCTTGAGACTGCCAATGGTAGAGTGGCGCTAGAAGCCACGGGGGTCATACCCACGACGGCAAGGAGTCCCGAAGACATGAGCATCCGATTGTCTCCCGAGCCTCGATTCCTGCTGATCAGGCACTGGAGTCTCTACGACAGCATGCTGCACTCGCCTTATATGTTCTCCCGCCTCAAGACATACAGCGAGAACGGGTTGAAACGTCTTCACAAGCTCCTCGCCAAGATGGGCGTGAGCTTGATTCAGTGCAAGCAGAGCTACACGCACATGGACATGATGCTGAAGCGGGAGCTGCGTTCCAAGCTGCTCAAATACGCGTCGATGTACAATCTCGACGATATGGTGCCTACCGTCGAGTCAGACGGCAAGGACCGCGCGGGTGCGAAAGATGGTTGGGGCTTCGTCCGGAGCTGGGGCTGGCGCGCCACCCTGAGCGCGCAGGACATCGGCGTGGTCGTCGGAGCCCTCCTGGAGGTGGGCAGGCATGCTTCGTTGCCCAGCTCCGTCTCGCAGGAAGGAGCATCACAGCAGAGCGTCGACGACGGCGCTGATCAAATTGCCGCGCAGGGCGAAGAGTGGGTCTCCAGGTTCTGGGACGCGTATGATGCGCTTGAAGAGTAAGTGATCAGTGTCTTCGGGGCACTACTTGAACTTTGAAGGGCTGACAATCCGCAGCGTCGAAGCGCTCAAGGCCGGCCTTCCAACGGCACAGTATCTGCACAAGGCTATATTCAATACCGGCACCGCTGTATTGAAGAAGAAGCAAATATCACATCTTCGGGCGTTCCGCATGTGCATCGTCAAGGACAGCGCAGAAGCGTCGATATTCAACCACCCGGGGGCGCTCACCAAGCTGTCGCTCTGGATCGGCGAGGCCCTGTCGGAGCAGGAGAAGGACTCGACAGGAAAACTTGCCCACGCGGGTCGCGGCACCCCCTTGGTGGTAGCCAGCCTGAACGAGAAGCGAGGCGTGTACGTTGTCGTCGGCACCGGCGGCGGCGGCGGCCCTGACATGGCGTTCCTGGACAGGGAGGCGGCCAAGAAGAAGGAGCAGCTGAAGCAGGAGAAGGCCAAGGCAAAGGAGCAGAGCAGGCGGAACAAGCAGAAGATCCGCGAGCAGCAGAGGGCCGCCCGGCGGGCAGCCGGAGGTGAAGACGAGGATGATCTGGAGGACGAGACCGAGTCGGAGGGCTCTGATGCGTCAGATTCGGACGACGAGGATGAGGATGATGACGACAGCGAGTCCCGCGGCAGGGGCTTCGGGCTGAACCGGTTCGGCGTGGCGTTCCAGGACGTGGTCGCCGAGACCAACGCCCGCGTCCGGATCGACAGCTTCGAGCACTGTGTGGTGGAGGTGAGGAAGGATGACCTCTCGGGGTTCCTGGAGAGCCTGTCCTCGAAGGCCGTGGTTGGATAAAAAAAAAGCTGTGGTTCGGCCCGCCTCTGGACCTTTCTCCCTTCCTCTTTTGCTATTCTCTTGCCAATAGCTGGGTGATAATCGGCATTCCGGTACCAGGAGCCAGGCGTTGATGGACCTTTTTTTCATGCACGATCATGTTGCGTTGCGGGTGGAAGGTGGCGGGCGGGTGGCTGTTCTTGCTCTGCCTTGTGCCGAATGCCATTTTGGCAGCATGGGCGGAGGCGGTGGTGGGAATCATTGGGTGAGCGGGTGCATGATGAGGCAAGATCACATGTATACACACAGAGACACGTATATATTTAACACCGTTTGATTAAGATACCACCACGCCATGGTCTGGCTTAGCTGTTAATAGAAAATGTCTACATGAGGCTGTCGTCCGCTTTGGGTCACCTGATCCGTCATGTGCATATGTACGTGTTGTCCAAGGCTATAAATATATGATATGGCTGACACTTGCGATATGGGGGCGGTAATGGACAGCCCTGTCCACCAACGGCCTTGCACTGACAGCGACACAAGCTTGACGAATGGGACACACAGACAGTATAGGCCATATGAGGTGAGCGGTATGCGTGTGGGGAGTATTTGTACTTCTCTCAGAGTTGAGTGCATATGTAACATGGTTCAAAACATCTGAAATCTGAGGCACGTGGATTTCTGGGCAGAAAGCTTGTCTGACAGCTGGGCCCGACTCGGCAGCCGCGGTGGCTGGGGGGTGGGTGTTGTGCGTGTGTGCACCCAGGCGAATGGAACTGGCATAGAGGGGCGAACAAAGACGAAGGTCGCACAGGATGAGGCGCAAGATGCAGGCACGGCAACCTTAAAAATCCCAGAGGCCAACGGCGATAAGCCAGGCGTATCTTTGTCGCCCCCCCCCCCTTTCCGTGACGGTGTTTTTGGTGATTCAAGAATGGAGAAGGACAAGTGCACTGCCGGCTGGCTCCCTCATATGTTGTTTCTTGGATCCCAGTCAGCCCAGCCCAGAGGGGGAGCGGCTCGACGACGGACTCGATCTAGAACCCAGAACCCGGGAACCCACGCACGGCTGGGCCACTGGCCAACTGGGCTGCTGGGCCGCTGGGCCACTCACTGGCTGGATGGGTCGGCGCTAATTAGGGTGCTTTCTCGCGGCCAACGCAGCTGCCCGTGCTATTTTGGCGGCGAAGAGAGGGGCACTGACGTACCCCTTAACTGCTGCACCATCCCACCAGCCAGCCAGCCCAGCACATCGGCCGAGGGACCCCGACCAGGATGCCCAGAGCCCCCCTGTTGGTGGTAAGCTTGACCATTCCCTCACACCTGTGACCCCCCCCTGGTCGACGCCTGCCCGCCTTGTGGTGACCGGGCTGTTATTCACCCTTACCAAGCAACGAGGACTAGAAAGGACCTCCACCGGTGCCACCACCACGATTACCCCCCCAAGCGGCGCAACTGCTCCTCCTGTCCCGGGCCTGCATCCTCCTCCCTCTCACCAACCAAGTCGGCCAGCAGAACAGAGAGAGACAATCTTGTTGTGATCATCCCCAGAGCCGCGAGCCTGGTCCTGCCTGCATCCGCCCAGCCAGCCAGCCAGTCAGTCTCCACGCCCCACGCCCACGCCCACGCCCTGCTGCAGCAACACACCCACCCCTCCAGGACGAGTACGCAGGTACACACGGTCCAGGGTCTGTCTCCCTCTCCCAGAGACATATCTAGCCCACCTACAGCCCACTGCACATACAAATCAAGTCAGTCAGTCAGTACCTTGACTACTACTACTACATACATACATACACACATCAGCGAGCCTCGTCGTCGCAGGACAAATAAGCGCCCCCCTTCGCCCTCTCCAACACATCAACGCATCAACACATTCCCAGTCCAGTCGCAGTCCCAATCCCAAGACACCCTCTGACACTGACTGCCACCCGTCAGCGCTGCCAGTGCTGCTGACGACCTTCGGATATGGGCAAATCGTAAGTTTGCCTTTTCACCCTTCTCTCTGCGAGCCGCTTCCTGTCCCCCGGCACACGCTCTGCAGTTGGCCGGGTCGAGCTGGAGGATACGCGGCTCCGGAACCATGCGATTCAATCCCAACGCGGCGGTTCCCTTTTTAAAACACCGCACCGCGAAACCGCAAGCATGGGCATCGACGTTCGACACAAGACGCAGGGATACACCACCACCACAACCACAACCACCACAGCCCCTCGAGCTCGAGTTGCCCCTCCCTCGCTCCCCCCATTGACGCAATGACCATCCCCTCCCGCCTGCTCACCGCGAGCCGCATCGTCGCGCCCATCATCCCGCCACCCCTCCCTCCCATCCGCGCCGATCAGCCTCGGATCATCATGGCAAGGCTGACCTAGACTCCCCCAAAACAGACAGTCCAAGCTCTCGCAAGAGCAGCTGGCCGAACTGCAAAAGTCCACACACTTTGACAAGAAGGAGCTGCAACAATGGTACAAGGGTGCGCACAATTCCTCCCTCCCTCCCTTCCCCCAACCTGCTTGGTCCGCCCGACATGACGTCCGCCGACGAGCCTCGCGCCCCTTCCTCATCCCCGTCCCCACCCTGCCTGGGGGTTCCTAGTGTCTCAGGGAAAGCGAGACCACCAAAGAACACCCCGAAGGCCTTGTGACACGGCGCGCGCGCAACACCACCGCCGCACCACGTCGGGCATACAGATATACATACATACGTACATACATACACACGCGCAAAAAAAAAAAAAAAGACGCACAGCAGAATCTCAAGATGGGTGTGGGCTGACACTGACGCGCGCGCGCGCGAACCCCGCAAAACAGGCTTCCTCAAGGACTGCCCCTCGGGCATGCTCACCAAGGACGAGTTCCAAAAGATCTACCGGCAGTTCTTCCCGTTCGGCGACCCGTCGAGTTTTGCAGATTACGTGTTCAACGTCTTTGACAGCGACAAGTCCGGCACCATCGACTTCAAGGAGTTCATCTGCGCGCTGAGCGTCACGTCCCGGGGCAAGATGGAGGACAAGCTCGACTGGGCCTTCCAGCTGTACGACATTGACGGCGACGGCAAGATCAGCTACGACGAGATGCTCAAGATCGTCGAGGCTATTTACAAGATGGTACGCGACAACGTGGTCGCCTTTCTGAACTGCTGCCCTGCCCCGTCAGGTCGACTATCATTGTCATCGGTATCATTATTGGACTCGCTGGCTAACAGACGTGCCCTGGAACAGGTCGGCTCTATGGTTAAGCTGCCGGAGGACGAGGACACACCCGAGAAGCGGGTCAAAAAGATCTTCCGGATGATGGACAAGGACGAGAACGGGAGCCTCGACATGGACGAGTTCAAGGAGGGCAGCAAACGCGACGAGACCATCGTCTCGGCGCTGTCGCTATACGACGGCCTGGTCTAGCGCCCCCCCACCCCGGAGGTGCTTGCGCAGATATGTGTGTACGAGAAGATGCTGCCGGGGGTCCGTCTGGCGTGGAGAGGGCCAAAGGGACGAGTACGGTTGGAGAGGTCGAGATCGAATTGAGAGCCTGGGGAAGGGCTGACGGCAGGAGGGCCTTTTTGTTCTTTTATCTGAAATTACGCTCTCAGAAACTTCCCTAGCTTGGGTCTATCGTAGCAAATACATGCTTTTTTATGGTTCATCGAGGAGCACATGCTGAACAATGTCTCGGAGGTTCGCTACACGATTTAGCATGGCAGCCGCCTACGGTGCGGTGACAGTGAAGCTCTCAAGCCCCGGTCACTTTGCACGTATACACACACACATATGTATATATATACCGTCTTCGGCCGCATCCGGATGAGCCCATGTCACGATCACCACGAGCAACGAGCACGAATCACTCGCCAGTCCAGTTAGTTATTCTTTTTCCTTCCCCAGCCTGAGAATCATGATGGGATATTACTGCTTATTACATTGTAGCGCGTACCCTTCATTGCGGTCAAGAGAGAAAGCAAACACCCCGCTAAACCAAACCTTCCACCCTGATCATCCAAAAAGAACAAAGAGTCCGGTCGCGAGGAGGCCCAAGAGCCTCGGTAAATATAAACACTTGCAACGCGCAAAAAAAAGATTATGTCAGGGAGAGTCGAAGAGCCGCTCAGGACGAGCCGTAGGCCTGGTTGATCTCCTTCTGGTACTTCTTCACGATCCCCTTCCGGTTCAGCTTTTGCGCCGCCGTCACGAGGCCCTGTGTCAAGTTTGTCAGCATCAATTTTAAGCAGACCACACATGAAGAGGACGGTTCGAGGGTACATACGTTCTGTGGTGTCCACTCCTCGTCACTGAGGACTACGCCCTCGATGATCTCGATACCTGCCAGGCCGCCCGCACGCCCGGCGTTCTGCAGCTCCTTCAGCACCACGCCGTTCAGCTTCTTGGAGTGAACGAGCTCCTCGAGCGAGGAGCCCTGCACCCCGTTGTCGGACGCCAGCTTCTTGAGCGCCGGCTCTGCGGGCACGATGATGGCGATGGGCTTGGCCTTTGAGTCGTCGGCGAAGACGCAGATGTTGGCCACCACGTGGGCGGACCGGTAGACAGACTCGAGCTTCTCGAGGGCGATGTACTCGCCGTTGAGCGTCTTGACCAGGTTCTTCTTGCGGTCAATCAGCTTAAGGTGGCCGTTCGAGTCGAACTCGCCAATGTCGCCCGTCTTGAACCATCCGTCCGAGGTCATGGCCTCGGCGGTCTCCTTGTCGTTCTGGTAGTAGCCGTCCATGATGCTGGGTCCGCGCAGCCAGACCTCACCCTGCGCATGGGGCTTGTTGGTAGCGAAGTAGCCGGCATCGGGGAAGTCGACCAGCTTCGCCTCAACAGACGCGGGCATGGCACCAATGCTCTCGGATGTCCACTCCATAGGGTTTTGGAGGGTGCCCATGGCTGTCGTCTCCGTCAAACCATAGCCGATAATCATGGGGCAAATAGCCATGGAGATGAACCGCTGCGTGTCCTTCGCGACAGGACCTCCTCCGTTCAGGCACAACTTCAAGCGGCCGCCTGTAGCCTCCTTAATCTTCTTGAACACCACCGCATCCAGGATCCCGGAGCCCGGCAGGCCGTAGCTCATGAGGGTGCTCTTTGCCCACAGTGCACCCCAGAAGAGGTTCTTGACAATGGGGCTTCCCCCATTGACCTTGCCAATGATGCCCTTCTTGACGTTCTCCCACACGGCGGGCACGCCGACCAGGACACTGGGCTTGAACTCTCGGATGTCACCGTTACACTTGCGTACAGAAGCGTCAGAGAGTGTCTTGGGGTTGCCGTAGCCCAGGGTGGTACCCCAGTGCAGGGCAGCATTCTCAAACACGAATTCCAGGATGTGCGCCAGGGGGAGGTAGGTCAGGAGGCCGTCGCCCGGGCCGATGAAGGGCTGCACCACCACGCTGACTCCAGCCACGGCAGCAATCACGTTGCTGTGCTTGAGCGGGACGCCCTTTGGCGTGCCGGTGGATCCTGAGGTGTACATGATGCAGCAGAGGTCCTCAGGCTTGGGCGGAACTGGCTCGGTGGGGTTCTCCTCGCCCAGCTTCCTCAGGTCGTCAAAGCTGATGATCTTGACGTTGGGGTACGCGGCGGTGAGTTTCTCGGCATGCTCCTTCTTGAGCTCGTTCTGGCTGTTCCAAATAACATGCCTGACCTCGGTCGCGTCCTTGAGGACGTTGGTCAGGGTCGGTAGCAGGTGTGGGTCGAGGAAGATGGCCTTGGCCTTGGTGGCAACCATGGAATGGCGCAAGCCCTCCTCTCCCAGGGTGTCGTACGCGGTGACGATGGGCATGGACTGGGAGGAAGCGCCGTGCGACAGTGCCAGCCATGACGAGCTCGTGGCGGCGAAGATGTGGAGCCTGTCCTCCTTCTCGAGGCCCAGCTTGCGCAGGCCGGAGCCGAGCTGCAGGACGAGCTTCTCATACTCGGAGTAGGTCTGGTACTCGTAGCCGCTGAGCTCGAAGTAGGTCCACTGCTTGTCTACCTCGCGCTCCTCCCCGTCGACGACCTTCTTGACCTTCTTGGTCTCCTGGTGGGTGCGGACGAGCTTCCGCGAGCCCATGCATTTTGCGTTTCCATATTTCTCGACGGATACGCGGACGAGCTCGTAGACGGTGGAGATGTTTGGGGCGGGCTTTGCGACAAGGTCGGGGACGGAGCCCGGGAGGCGACGGATGGTAGTCTCGCCCTCTACGGGCTTCTGTCCGGGGACCTCGACGGAGAATGGGGGCTTCGCCTGAAGGCGTGGCTCAATGTTAACCATGATGATGGTTGGGTATCACAGAGGAGGGCGTCAAAGGGGGAAGGGCGGGGAGCAAAATGTGGCGTTGTCTCGGGGACTGGCCAGAGGAGGTGGCCGAAGGAGTGTAGAGGAAGCAGAAAAGGGGTGCGAGATGGGGGTGGGAGGAGCAATTGGGGAGGGGGAGAGGAATGAAGAAGATTCCAAGTCTGCCAAGAGGTTGAGCAAAGCGAAAGGCAAATAGACCAGGCTACCAATTTGGGCCGAGCAAGAGACCAGACAAGACAGGCGAGACGTCAGGACGAGAGCTCCAGGTCCAGGTCCAGGTCGAGTTATTAGCAGTGCCGGGTACCAGGGTTGGCTCGAGCTCCCGCAGGGCAAGGCAAAGATGTGGCAGAGGTCGACATGACGTCCCCAATGCTATCCATGTCCAAGCTCGGGCTAGTCTAGTCTGCAATTGGAGAGCACCTGCCGTTGCACGGTACCTCCCCGACCAGCCGTGCGATTCTGCAATACTGCAATACTGCAGGTGCAGATGCAGCAGTGACGAGTCTGCTGCAGCAGGCTCGCTTACGTGGTAGACTGTAGACAGCCAATTGTCTGCCTAGGTACACAACCAGTACTTCCAGTTGGCTCAGCGTCCACGTGTCTGTGTAATCTCAAATTTCACATATGCTAGGACATCGTGTTCTCCCTGGTGAAGACTTTGGCTTTTCGGTGGCCGGGGCCACAAAGTACCCGCCTGCAAACGACGTGAATACCGAGGGCATGTCTCTTGTGCCGCGTCAGAACCTCGGCCAGAGGCGACTTCTCCAATCCCGTGACGAGATGAACAGTGCAGAGTGCGACCTCAACAATTCTGTCCTGCGCCTCCAACGGCCTGCTTTAGTTCCCCTGCCCCTGACCAAGTGCAGAACAGACGCCCATTGTTCGGACCAATCCGTGCGCTGGGTATGGTATGCTGCGCGGTAGTAAGGAGTAGACCAGACAAAAATTGTTCGCAGTACTACATAGTACCTCTAATAATAAATCATATTGTAGATGCAAGTTCTTAGTGGAGTCCCCATCTTCCGGTGCCCACTGCTCGGAGACGACGGCCAAGTATAGTAGGAAGTGTGAGGTAGCCCGTGCACTATCCGGGAAGAGGGGTTCCTCCTCTAGGAGAAACTACTTCCTCTCCTAATTAGCTAGTTTTATTTTAGTATTATAACACTATAATATACTTTTACTTTTTTAATAATTATTTACTTTTCTATATTTATTAGTAATAAGATTAGAATTTAAATTATATTTAAGTATATTAATTAAAAGGATAGATAATTATTTTAGAAAATATAAATTAAAAACTAAAAGTATATATTAATTTTTAAATTAAGTAATAAGTATTTTAAGAGAAGGATACCTAATTTATTTATTAATAACCCCTTTTTATTATTATAATAGCCCTATATTATACTTAAATTATTAAAATTAAAAATTATATAAAAACTTTTATTATAATTATTTTATTTTTAAACTTATTTAATATATATATTATTAGTATAATAATTTAATATTTATTTTATTATAGCCTTTAAGGATATTTAGTTTTAGTAAGTTTAAACTTAATATTTACTTTTAAATTATATTTTCTTTATTTTTAATATTTATTAAGTATTTAATATTATTATTTATTAATTTTAATTATATAAAATATTATAAAAATAAGAATATAGTTTTAATTAATTAATAAATTAATAATTATATAGTTAATATTATTAAAAGAAGTAATAAAAGAATTTAAATTTAGTATTTAAAGTAAACTATTAGATTAATATTTAAGAGTATATAAAATATATAATAGTATATTAATTTATTATTAGAAAGTATTATTTTATTATTTAAAAGTATTAATTTACTATTTCTATTTCTATCTTTTAGTAATATTTAAATAAATTTCTATATTAAAAGTCTATTTAATTTTATATATTTATTTATTACTTTAATTATTATATTACTTTAAACCCTACTTTAATAGTATATAAAATATTATTTATTTTAATTTTTAATAATACTTTTATTAATATTTTAAATAAAAATCTATATAAATATATTAAAAGCTTAAAATATATAAATATAAGTATAAGTTAACTAATAAAGGAGTATAAAGAGGAAATATAGGTAGTATTCTATTAAGGCCTTTAAAGTAATATTAAAATTAAATAGTTTTATAATTAATATTTAATAAAAAAGTAAAATATTATTTATCTACTTTTAAAAATATTTTAAGATTTAAAAGGTAAATATAAATAGAGATATTAAAATAAAAGTATTTAACTTAAAGTAATACCCTATAAAAATAATTTAAGAGTTTATAGTAAAAGTTATAAAGCTATTATATTAATATATAAAGGAATAGATAAAGGAGTTAATATACTAACTATATATATATTTTATTGTTTTAAAAGGGTATATAAATTTTAAAACTAATTATTAGGTTTAAAAATAAATATTTAATTATTTATTTAATTTAAAAAAATATTAATTAAAGGAGTTTTAATTAAGGATTATAGTTTTAAAGATATTAAAAATATATTTTAGGGTATATTTAATAACTTAAAATTAAGGATAATAATAAGCTTTAAATAATATATTAAAAACTAATAATTATTAAGGAGATTTTACTTTAAATTATAAAGGTTATAAAGGAATTAATATAAGAGGTAGTAAAATTAAAGGAAATACTTTAGTTTAAATAATTACTTAATACTTCTAGATTAATAGGTATTTAATACTTAAGTATTACCTATATTACCTAGTTTAATAACGAACTAAGAGATAAGGAGAAATAAAAGTATATAAAATTTAAATAGCCTTTAAACTTATAGCTTATTTTAAGAGGTAACTCTTATTAATTATTATAATAATATAATATATAGATAGATTAGTAATATTATAGGGGTTAGTAGCTATAAGGTAAACACTAATTATAGTTAAATAAAAAGAATTTAAAGGGATATTATATTATAAAATATAAACTTAAAATTATTCTTAAATTATATTATAATGTAAATATATTGTAATTATAATAATAAAGGGTATAAAACTAACTCTTATTTATATAATATATATTTATTTAATATATATTAAAAGATTTAAAATTATATATAAAAGGTAAGTTAATTCTAAACTATTTAAAGATAACCTTAATTATATAGTTTTATATAATTATAAAAATATATAATAAAGTAAATAAAATAATTTCTATAATAGTTATAATAATATTTATAAAGTTAATATTCCTTAATTAAACTATATAAAAGAAATAGTTAAATAGTTTAAATAATTAGATATAATTTAATTTTTTATTTTAATTAAAACTATAAAAAGAGTTAGAGTAAATAAAATCTAAAATAATAATAATTATATTATAAAGATCGCTTCTTTAACTTCCCTTTATATTTTAAGTATAACTATATAACCTTTTATACTTTATTTAAAGAAAATAGGGATAAATTAAAGGAAGAAAATACTATTAAAATTAAAAGATTAACTTAAAGTTATATTAAATAACTATTTAATAAAATAAAATATAATCTTAATATAACTATTTAATAATAATAAAATAAATAATTTAATATTTAAGAATAATTAAAGTTAATAAATATTATATTATTAATAGAGTAATTATTAAATAGAAGTTTTAAATTAAATTATAAATAATATATAAGTTAAGGTATTTAGTTTAAAGTTAATAAGATTAAATAAAAAAGGTATTTTTAAAAGAAAACTACTTTATAATTATAAACTTTATATAATTAACTATTAATTAAATTAAGTTTATAAATTAAGTATTATTTAATATAAAAATAATATACTTAATATATATAAATAAAATAATTAAAAATAAGATAATTAAATAAATCCTTATTAATAATAAATTTTAAAGAAACTTATAAAATTTATATTAATAAACTACTTAAACTTAAAGTACTATAAAGTAGAATAATCTATATTCCTAAAAATAATTAATAATTTAATAATATTAATTAAATATTATATTATAGTTTTAATAATTATTAAAAGTATTTTAATTATAATTTAAATATATATTACTAATTATAATTAAATCTATAACCTTTTATTAAAAGGTTAAAATTAATTTAAAATTAAGCTATTTATAAGTATAGAACTAACACTTTAAATTTTTATAAATAAGGTAAGTATATAATTTAAGTTAAGTTAAACTATTATAAAGTAGGCCGTAACTTAATATTTTAAAGGGATAATAATAAGTCTAATATTAATATTAATAAATTAAAAATAAGTTAATAAATAAATCCTTTAATAATAAAAAAGTTTAAATAATAATATAAAAAAGTTAATACTTTATTAAACCTTATAAATAAAATAAAACTATTAAATATTTTAAAATATATAAATAATAAACTTTTAAATATAAAAAGTTTAACTTAAAAATATTTAAAGGGTTTTATATTTAAAAGGCCCTAAATATAGCTAAACTAAGTATATTAAATAATATTAAATATATTTAATTTATAAGTAAAATAACTTATATTAATAATATTAAAACTATATAAATATATAATTTGTTAGAAAAATAAAATATTAATAGTAAAAGGATTTAATAGTTATTAATTAGTTATTATAAGAGGAAAGTTAATTTAATAAATAAATATAAAAATAATAAAATATAAGAAGATAATATATATTATTTAACTTTAATTAGATAGAGATTAATAAAATATAATTCTAAAAGCTTAATTCTTATATTATATAGTATAAATATATAAAATAATTAAAGAGAAATTATAAATATTATTAATAAAATAAATAGAGTAAAATAAATATTAAAAGTCTTAAAGGGAAGTTAAAAGTATTATAATATAAGTTTACTTAAATAATATTATTTATTTTAAAGTTATATAAAAATAGATTTTTATATAATATTTAAAAGTAATTTATAATATTTATTATAAATATATAGGTAATAGAATTATATTTGAATTATAAATTAATAATATAAAGATATTAACTTAATAGAAATATTAAATATTAATTTAAATAATAGCTTTTATTAAATAAAAATAAAATAATTAATAAATAGTTTATTATAATAAGTATATAAGAGAGTAGGGTAATAAATATAAAAATAATAATAAAAATAAAATAATTAATCTATATTTAAAAGATTATTTTACTTTCTTTTAAATAAATATTAAAATAATAAATTTAATTACCTATAATATAAACTTAATTTTAAAGGCTATCCTTTTAATTAAAGTAGTTAAGTTATATCTAGAATATAAAGGTTTTTATTAAATAGTTTTATAATAAGTTATAAAAATTAAATAAATTTAGTTAAAAATAAATAAGTAAATAATATATATAAAAT